AGTTTCATCCAAAACTAACGTCATACGCGGAGTTCTGAAGCTAGTAAGCTATTCGCAGATTTAACTTACATCTGAATGTAATTCAGTCGAAAATTCCCACCTTTTTCCGTTTACTGAAAAGAACCTATAGGCGTAAAAGGATAAATGGACTCGATCAATTACGTTACAGGATCGAACACTTACGCAGTTTAATATCGATTTCGTTAGAGCTGCAAACAAGGTTGTGAATATGAGCAATTTAGATTGACAGTGTGCTGTTCTATGTTTCATTTGCATCAGTGAAGTGGTTCCTAGATTTATAGTCTCACGGTTTGGTCACGAAGGGTCCTTGGGTACAAATATAATGGGATTGTAGTAGCAAATATTTTCTCAAAATCAATAGTACAATGAGTATTCGATGTGGGGATGACCCTATCAGTTTTAACCAGTTGGACTAACTGAAGGCGCATGGGTAAGCATCCACGCCATCTCTTGGTAGTACTCACGTAAGATTCTTGTTCAAGCCTAGTGACCTCGAATGAAGTTTGTATAAAAACGACATAAATGCTTGTTCATACGCTTAATCTAATGAAACTGAAGAGGTCAAAATAAATGTTGAATACATACCGCACTATCGAATCGAGATAATAACTAACCTCTACAACTGGTTTCTCCCTCAGGATCACAACAGTGATGTTTCATCTAAGAAAATTCGCTAATTCTATGATAAGAGTGCGAAATAGTCAATAGAAACCAACGAGAACGAACTAACAAAACTAACAGTGGAAACTTTCGACGGTCGTCACACAAAAATAGTAATTAGGACTTTAATAAGATAAAAGGTCTTATCAATGTTTTGGAAAGATTTCCTGAATGAACTGACGAATATGAATGTTAAATACATGTATCAATAGAGTCACACTCTCTAAGGACTGGTGTCTAGCGAAACATATACACTAATGCAAATAGCACTTTTAAGACTAGTGTTCCTAAATTGACACAAAAATAACCGACCTAATGAACCTTTATAAGCTGAATGGGCTAGGAAGTATTACGTATGCCGAATCCCACTTACCTCGACACACGATGTTTGCTGGTGTGAGAATAATTTGAAACCAAGGCGTAGCATCAGTCTAAAAAGTTATCGACCCTGGATATGAGACATGTTGGTAAACGCTGATGACCTGCTTGAGGCTTGCGCAGTTATTGTTACCAATAGTCATAGACACTGAACAGATTAGTTTGGAATCAGTTGAAATAGCGCACGTTTGTTTGAAAAAATCTACTTTTCATTCAATAGATACCGTTGTTACTTCTGTAAGGAATGAGAACTCAGATGAGGACAACCAAAGAAAATTACAGAATATCTTAGTAAAATGTGAGAATCGTACATTGAATACTTCATTTGCAAATTTCCATTATTTGTTCTTCACATTCTGTATGATTATTCCAGTTCAAAATTCCTTCCTAATTTCCCTTCTATTCTCTTTAACTCGAGCTTTTTAGCCATCTGTTGACAGATTTTCCACTTCTGATGGGTGTTATATACTATTCATGTCTGCGACATAAGTAGCATACACCATACTTATACTACTGGGACACTGGTCTTGATAATTTCGCCTCACTATGTAAGACAATATAGTGTGGTAATCTGAAACGAAGAAAATATATTTGCTATGTCTTATGCTGCATATTACTGATTAATATTACTTCTTGAAGTAATCTATGATAAGAAATTATTGAATTATATTGGCCCATAGAAACAAATTTACCCACCAGGCTTGAAATATAGCCACAAAAGTAATTGTATGAAGTTAATACACATTCACTAAATCCAACTCTCTGTATTAAATTAATTAGCTGAACAAATAAGTTATATGTCATAAACTGCTCTCAATTAGAGTGCCATAGTAATCAACCAGCACTAGCAGCTATTTCGTCTAAGTATGGGTCTCCAGTAGTGCGCACTCAAGACCCAAGAAGAGATCGAACCCGAAAACTTCGGGTGTCGTAGCGAACTACTGATCAGTAGAACAAGTGGATTGGCATCTAAACGAAAAATCAAACTAATTTCCACAAAATCCTTTCAACTAAACCTATCTTGAGTCAAAGCTCGTCAAATTAAATCACTAGGATCTTCATATATAACACCAAAAAAAAAACCAGTTATCGCATGGTTATCTGATAATCAGTTAGAATGCAAGTGTATATAGAAAAGATGAAATAAACGGAGCAAGCAATTTAACCACTACAGAAACCTAGTGATTAAAAGTTACATATAAGAAAATAAACAGTTCACTGATAACTTAAAACGTTTTATTTTTTAAAAAAATTGTCATTGCTATTTCATATTCAATTAAAAAGTATTTACATAATTATGTATAAATATTTTATAAGTAAATGGAATTCCATCTTACATTACTCTATAACATCATGTAAAACAGAACAGAGAGGGAAACTAGATACATACACACACACACAGAAACAATCAATCAGTCAATCCAACAAAGAAAATTATTGCATAAATAAACAAATTCTTTTTTAGACAAAAAAAAGGAGACAGAATTGTATAGATTTACACGTGGATGATTCAACACAATATGAACTATATGCCCTTCTTTTAGTTTTTAAGTTAACGAAAAGAATATTCAATAGAAATATATGTTGTTGCTGTTTCATTTAATAACTATACACTACTTACTAATATTACTACTAGTTACCAATTTATTACAAATACACATGTATCGAATAAAAACTAACATGCTGAATATACTTTTTTTTCTATACTCGAAAAGAAAATTACTAGATGAATTAAAGATTATAAACAAAACATATACAGATCAGTAGTATGACTGTAAGGAATAAAAACATGTATTGTGTATACGTATATAAGAGACAAAAACGAAGTGGACAATAATAACAACAACAACCACTACTACAAAGGCAATAATACTTGTTGGTCTGATCCAGAAAACAAAGTTTTGTGTATGTATGTGTAAGTGTACGTGGTACTATCTTTTATGTGTATGAGAGTGGATATGCATCTGCATTGATATAATAATATCGTGGTGTTAAAAAATAACAATAATTAAAAGTAAAACCCATGGGAAGACATACTGGGTAGTAATAACAATGTGGAACAATTGCAATTGGTTGTGAAGTGAAGAAATAGCAGAAAAGTTAGCATAATACAGAGAGAGAGAGAGAAAGCAGCGACAAGAACAACATGTAACGAAATTTGACACCCAAGTTCCAGTGTCCGCTTTAAATTTCTTAACTGCACTAATGAAATTTATGTTAAAAAGTAAAAAATGATGACGGCGGAGGGTGTGGATTGAAAAAAAAACACGAATCGAACAATTATTAAGTGCATTTTGTTTAAAAAACTTGAAAATTATTGAACATCATTAGAAAATAAGGAAGCCTTCTCGTACAGCGAAGACAAAAAACACAAGTATGAGTTTATACACAGATACATATACATACACAAAAGTCAATCAACAGTTTGAGATTTATCAAGAATAGGAAAACATATACAAGAAACAAACTGATAAACGAGTATTTTTTTACTCGAATACAAAAGAAGCGACACTAGCAGTAAATAGTCAAATAAATACAGATAAGAACTTAATTGACAAATGCATTTGGTATATCATTGATAATAAACATAAAAGTACCATTCATTATATTTGTTACGATTTTGACTATTAGTAGTAGTAGTATATGGAAGTAGTATATTTGCTATTAATAACAACAGTGATAGTGACAAATGACGAGTTGTCAAAAATACCAATAAGAATAAAAGACAGATTTCGTGTGTACATGTGTCAAGAGAAGCCTGTAAAATTCAGTGTACACATACGTATACACATTGAAGCCGATCAAATTCGTACTACAACTAGGTTTATCAAGAACAATAATGTAGCACATTTACCAGTAATATTATTTGTGCAGATTTGAGATAGTGAAGTATGCCCCAATATTCAAATTCATCAAGAGTTACCAGTATCCGATGATTGTGTAGGCAAATGAATTTTCTTCATACTATTATTAGACTTAGATTTGTCCATATTATTAGTAGTCAGATTCGATTTATCATCATTGAAAATAGCCGGTTTCATTGGACGAGTGAATGGTGGTTGGACAATTATAGTACTTTCAATGTTATTATTTATTAATTGAGTAGTAGTTGTAGTATCTGTTAGTCCGGATATGGGTAAATGTGTAGTACTATTTGTTGATAATGATGAAGACGATGAGGAGATATTAAAATCGAAATGTGGATTTACAATAAATGATTCACTTCGATTATTATCATTATTATTCCTGCTATTACTTAATGAACTACTAATATTATCAGAGATAGTAGTTGTGGTATTATTACCAGTGAGAATGGTTGTCGATGCTATAAAATTTAGAGTATTTGTGTTCTGGTTATTGCTGTCAGTAGTTACATCCAAACAACAAGTTTCGTCCATATCTAGAACACCGTTTACTGTGGAAAAGTCCGAACTATTCAGATCATCTTTATATTTCTTAAATCGAATTGAATTTTTAATTGATGCCAGACTGGCAGGAGAGAATAAAGCTAATAGTTCATGGAATGGACTACGACTGTGATGATTAAGCGATGAGGAATTTGAAGACATCATCGACACAGAAGTAACTAAGGGTGAATTATTACTAGTGGTAGTAGTAGTAGTACTACTACTACTACCAATATTTCGGTGATATCGAAAAGTAGATGAGGACGACAATGTACTAGCAACATCATTAATATAATTTGTTATCAGTCCGGGAAATGGTCTAGGCAATGAGGTGGATTGATAAAATGATGAATTCGGTAATACTGATGATGAGGATGATGTTTGAGAATTTGATTCAGTGCACAATAAATCTAGTGCTTGTTGAGTTTTACTCGAATTCAATAAACCGGAATTCACTGCAAAATCAATAATTGCACGATAACAAAATACATACTGTGACGACACTTGAACACAACCGAAACGTTGTGAACGTACTCGAGCGACTGTTAGAGGAATATTGATTTTATGCTCAGTATTACGTGAATCAGCTAACCATTTTGTACATATATCCACAGTTACATAAGTACCTAAGAGAAAAACGAGAAACAATGACGAATATCTATCAATTTGGAATGGATGAATTATTCAGTCTTCATTAGTGCACACTGCATTTTTGATAAATTAAAAATTGACATTTAAATGCCTTTTACTTATTTAATGAAATTTTTTTTAGCAAATGGATGTAATATGTAATAATTTGATTTATTACTTTAGACCATCCACTTTAAAAGAAAAGTCAATGTTTTTTAAAACAATTACTAATTTTTTTTTGAAAAAGCCGATCTAATTAGATACCAACAGTGATTTAGAATGTTTGTGTCAATGAAGTAAAATTCTATCTACTTCAAATTTTGATTGATTTATTTATTTGAACACATAAATATTGGTACAAAGGGGCACCGAATACATATACGCCACACAAGTCAGGTGGCTTTCTTAGGGGGGGAGCAAACCCGGGGCCTTCGACCTAAAGGTCTAATCTACAAGGCAATGGAGCAACGTAAGGAGATGAAGTCCTATGGTAAACAGCGACCAACGATTGGTTCATACGTCATTTGCTCCTTCCGGATACTGGAGCCCATGTGAACCATTGGTTTGGAATCAGGGTTTCCGAACTCCCTTAGGTGGATCCTCTGTATCCACCAACCCGGTTAAAGTGCCGGACATTCGCTTTTCGTCCTCTGAATTTCGTAAACGACACCCCCGCCACCAGAAGGCACTGAGTAGAACTTGCCTGGCAGTGGTTGTATACGCGTGGCCATGTGATAGCATTTGGAGAAGGGGAGCGGATTATCTCCACCCTCGGCCGTACTAGGGCATTTGGGGGTAATAATAATAATCCCATTTAGCTGACGAACCATACAGTGTAAACTATTTAAATCTTTTCTCGTTGTAATTTTATCTTGTCTCAATACATATGGACATGTCCTACGGATGTCATCTTAGAGAATTCTACTTCGTGAATTATTGGTCGACGCTAGGACCGGTTGGAAAAAGCGGAGGTGGTCAGTATATGACATGGTGTCGTTGTATGAAAAGCTGTACAGAACTGGTTTCTGTTGGTCTTTCACAACTTCCTGGTTGGGGTCCTAGAGATGGTGCAACACAGTGGCGATCCTGCTGTAAGTCTCTTTTATTTTCATAAAAATGAACGTGACTTTTTTAACTGAAAGGATTCTTTCTGGTTGTATTTTTCCTAGCTGAACTGTTTCTCGTATTATTATTATTTCACTCTCATAACTAATTTTTGTTCGTTGTTCCTCTTTTTATTATACTCACTTTACATTGTCTATCTCTTCACAAACTCATTGTTATTGTATGGCGCAAATCTATTTGTTGTCTCCTTGTACCAATGTTCATGTGTTCAAATAAATAATTATTAATTATGCTAAATAATAACTGTTAACTAATATTTCTATGATTCAACAAGACGCAAAGATACTGAAAGAGAGAAATAATCATACTCATTATCCATTCATAGTATTCAATCTAATCTCTTGGTCAACAAGTATCTAATCAATTTACATGATCTTATGAATTTGGAAGTGATAATTAAATGTTTTCAGGTTTGTAACATTCAAGTGAATTCATTAACTATTGTGTTTGTTTACACTTCTCTTCGATAATATTTTAACTTATCCACAATTAAGTTGAAATGTATTATTATTACTATTATTATTATTCTACATGTCTTTATTTTGTGCTTGAAATGTAGATAACTAAATACTCCCCATAAAACTGAATAATCGAAAGCTAGCAGACTAATGAATATCTCTACAATAAATATTTAAAATAATGAAATATTAGCAGCTGTTCGAACCTACTCTGTGATTTCTTAGTAGTACATATTCAACATCTCCCACGAGATCGGACCCTAGTCATTACAGATATAAATTATTTCGGAAAAAACAAGATTTGATCTTGCTTAGATAAGAGTTGGGAGTGGGTATTACAGTTAAAGATTCCCAAGTGAAGATAAAACAATTGCTTAATACTTTCTTGGTTTTTAATGGTTTTCATAGACAGTGTTGAGTCCACGTTGAAAACTACCTTCAAAAATAAAACAAGTCTCAGTACACCAATTAACTGAATGGATTACATCAGTTGTTTAGGTTAACAAATGCTCTTAAGATCACTGTGCGTGAAATACATGAAGTGAATCAAGCTAGGTATCAGAATAATTTAACAATGATGGAAGAAATACGCTACACTTAGTTACTTTAACCACAGAAAATGATAAGTACCTCTGTTGATTAGCTAACTTGATAAGAATACTAAAAGTTTAAATAAGAAATGAAGAAGTTTAGTGAAGGAAGTGATGATTAAGATTTTGAAGCAAACTCTCCACTGATTAGATCTTATTGGAAAATTTTAACTTAAGAGAGATAAAGTAACTGTAAAAACAAACACAGACGTTTCAAGAAAAGTATCTGAATATGGAAACAAAGTTACAGATTGTTTGGTTACCACAAAGAACTGATAGTTATGAATATAGGTAAACTCCCATAAAATCCATGAAATCTCTAGTGTTGTTTACGAAGATAACGACAGAAGGAAAGATAGTACTCTTTTAATGGATGAAAGGTTTTAGAGTCGTCATTAGGACTATAAGGATGATATGAAGCCAAGACGATTTTGAGCTTCAAGTACTAATGAAAAAAAAGAATATGTATGGTTTGTTTTGCTATTCGAGGGATCGACACCTTCCTATCAGATTGATTAATAAGTTGAATTCGGTTAAAATCGTCTGTACATATACGTTTATGGTTGAAGAAATTGCTACTAGAAATTTACAAAAACAATGCAACTAGAAAGCCTAACTTTTGAAATCTTCCAGGCATGTTTTGAATAATTAGGCAACGGAACGGCTTCAGTGCTACAAACGAGAAGTGTTCTTTGAAGAGGGATAAAACTATTTTACTTTAAATTTTGTATCATAAATTTTTATGACTTCAACTCGTGTATTGATTTGACTGAATAGGCAGTTACCACGTACAGATATATGTAAACGGTTTTAATTCCCACTTTAATTGTGAGGTTATCCGAACTCAAATACGTGAAACGAAGTTTAAACTCGAGAGACTATGTGGTTGAAAGTTGAGGGCTTTAACAACTGACCTACGAATCAGTGGCAGTAGTTAATGTACCTCCATCCCGGTTCTAACAGCTGAATCCAAGAGGCCAGATTTTTTTCGGGAGGATAAGCTGATAGATGAGGTCAATAAAACGAAGTTTTAAAAATAATACACAGAATTGACGGATAATCTGACCTTATTGTCTAAGGGGGAAAGATGTATATTTATGAATGAGTCTGCATACATTCCCGACTTGGTTTTAGTAAATAAAATTTCCTTCTTATTCAAGTACTTGGTCTGAGGTCATGCATAGGAAGCTCATATACTAGGATCAGACTCGTACGACCACACAGCATAATAGAAGAAAACACAGGGAATTCTATCGAATTACTGCAAACGTATGTATAAGTATGTATAAATAATAAGTACTTTACATATATAAATACACAGGTCAAACCACTTACCTGTTCTACCAATTCCTGCACTACAGTGTACAACGACTGGAGGAGGTGGAATTTTCTGATTTTCATAGGTTTTATAGCCTAATTTTTCAATTTCATTCAAATAAGTTGATTGAACGGAAGTGAGTAAATCTAGTAAACCTTCAGTTGTTTGAGGTGTACCATGATCAGGCCATGAAAAGAAAGCAAAATGTTCAACAGTCCTTACTTCGTGTAGCTAAAATAACAAATAAAAGGTATTGGTTTGAAATAAAAATAACCACAAAATTTGAGTGGAAACAAACAATTAATATTCTCATCAGTGAAGCATTAATTTTTCTATAAAAAAACAAGCTATGCGACATAAAACGAGATGATGGGGAATGTTTGTAGTTTAGAATGAAGATGTTGGAGGTATTGTGTTCATTAAACTGGATTAGTTTAGTAGAAGCTTCTTTCTTGGCGAAGTTCTACCATTTTCAAACAGCAAGAAACGTGTTACGTTTTCCTAACTTCCATATGATAGGAAATATCTGTAAATCAAGATGATAAATTTTGAGTTGCAAGCCCTAAAATCTTCAACATTAGCATTAAAATATTCTCAATTATCTTAAAATCATACGAGCGTAGCGTGTTTCTCGTCGTTTGGAGATATATGGACTTTTCCAAGAAGCTTGTTTTTACAGGAACAGAACTAAATGATTCAGCTTAGAGAAAATAAAACTTCCAGAAAAATAAAATGAATGTATAAAAAGGCAGAACTGTTGATGAATTATACAATTTTTGAGAAACCGAACTGGAACTTAGGTAGTAATGAATCATTTGCTTTGCTGGATAAACATAAGAACATTGGAAAGAGGTAATTTATAAGACCATTATTAACAAAAAGCTGGTGTTTTCAGAGTTTAGTTTTCATTAATTTATGACACCTAGTAAAACAAATACTTACATTCTAGTGAAACGTTTTTTGCTAGTAAATCATTTGTGTTTATTTATTCACATAATAAGTATGGAGCCCAACACTTGGTTTTTTATATGATAAACAATAGTGATTTACAGATATACAAGCTTAATGTGGCACAGTAAATGTTAGTTTGCACACATCATATTTTCAATGAAAACCACCGCAGTGAAAAAGAAACTGATGATTACAGGACACTAGGGTGACCTACAGAGAGGACATTACAAGCAATTAACAATAGAACGTGCTACCAAGTATGTACGACAAAAAGATTACGATACAGATCACGAAGTATCATCAGTCATAAAACTTACAGTTCCTTGCCATAGATTACTTGTACTTTGGAATGATTAGACCTGAAGTCTTCTTAATCAGCTAGTCCTATATCAAATCAAATAATCTTTATGACTAGGCCAGAACTTTTTAACATCTAGTTCGTTTCATTTTCCCTTGCTTTGAAACACTGCTCTCGTTTCATGGGCCAAACGAATGAGTAGTATTAAGATTAGGTGTAGCATAGTAGTAAAACAGCGAATTGGCTGATGAAGTTGTGAATATTAATCGACTGCACTGGTCGGAACATATTATGTACTCCTAACCATGGCCTACCTTGACGAGTGATGCTCGTTGGTGTAAGAGTATTTTGGAAGAAAGCTAGCAGCGGTTGAACAAAGACATGACGACAATCCATTAGGTCATTGACTGTTGACCTAAGCCATGATTGTGGGACTATAGTAACTGATTGGGGTCCATGTGATAACCGCGATCGTTGGTTAGAGATGTTGTGAGAGACAGTTAAGAATCTGTCATAATAGTGCAAATCTATTGATTGTTTATTTTCCTTTAAATCTTGATACCCAGTGATCCACTGTACATATCTTTTTGTTTTGTATTTGTGAAATATATTACTCAGTGTTCAACATTTCCTTATTAATACTGATCCAATATTACGTTGATTCCTTTGTTATTCATCTATCAAAGTAGCTCTCTTATAGCTAATGTGGTATATATATATATATATATATATATATATATATATGGGTTAAGTTATCTGTCGATGATGACCGACTCTTAACATTACAGGCTATTAGAAAGATGGCAACTTGGTAATAAACATATCATATCCATATTATATATATATATATATATATATATATATATATATATATCAGTTGAGTGGCAGCTTAATGGTTAAGGTGGTCGACTTCCAGCCGCTAAGTAACGGATTCGAAACCCGGATCCATATACTTTAGTTTAGGCAATCGGGTAGTAGTATTAGCGCTCAGGCTCAGAGTGTGGTTCGTATCTAATTACCTAATGAATTAGTCTGTTTAACTCAGATTTCATTTCAGTCAACGAACTAATTATGTAATAAACTGATGGTTTATCACAGAATTAACCACACCTTGTCGGTCCGGCAAAAATCACTTCTACCCTAAACTTACATACAAACATAAAGCAACCAAGCCTATCTACAGGTAAAAAGTCCAATTGATATTTTCTATTGAGAAAAAAAGAGAAAATAGTGAAAGATCATGATCATCATGCAAACAACATGATCATTTACGAACAATTGCATAAAGTGAATTTAAGAAAAGCGTTAAGAAAAAACTAGGAATAAGAAGTAATTTGAAGAGGAGGCAAAGAGTGAAATGCGGAATTGAAGTTACATTTATCTATTTACTGAAAGCAAAATATTAGAAAATAGTTTAGAACGTACACAAGCGTGTGCGAAAGGAAGAAATCGATGAACCCAAAATCTAGATGTAGAAATGAAGAGGAAAACTACATAGAATGAGTTGTTTCAAATGAAAAAGAGGAAGAATAGCAGAGAAAATTTGTAACACACTTGTAAATACATACATACATAGATCATTTGTGTGAAAACCTGAACATAAACAAACATATACATCCACTAAAGCATGGAAAAGTTCTTTAAAAATAGAATAAAAAGGGGCATTGATAGTGTAAATAATTATTATCCATCCACCGTGAAATAATACTGGAAGATAAACCAATTATGCAAGAAAATTTCTTTTAATTTTTTATGTAAACAGTAATTTAATGAATTAGTGAACAATAACTTATTTCCAATAAAACTGTAAGCAACATTAAACTAAAAACCAATAAACATTATTATTTTGAGTAGTTAACCAAATGATTATTATGATATTCACAAGCAAAAAGAAAAATTGCTTAAGTGTTATTACTAATGTTTGACTGATAATTTAATTGTTTCTGATTTATAACAAAGATGAAACGATCGAGAAATAAAAATCAGAATCTCTAATGATCATACACTAGATCAAACATAAAATATATTTAAAATGCTAAGTTAAATTTCCGCGGTTTCAACTTTCAAGACCAGTTGATTTGCAATATTGTGTAAACATCATACACTGGCATCAGTAATAATTCTCTGGTGACTGTTTCTTGATAGAACTTTAAGAATCCTCAAGTTATTCACTGATGAGAGTATGATTATTATTTTGACAAAAGGTTAGTGGAAATTTTTTTCAATATGAAGTTAACATCACAGAATGACTCTGCTATGGCAGAGAGAATAATGAGTTAAGTGTAACTCTTTGGACTAATTTACAATTTACGATCATTTATATTTTTATTGTTTAATTAGTAGATAACTGTATTATTGTATTTTTATCATTGCCTTACTGTAAGCTTTCAGTGGACTTATTAACTTCTGTTATGCGTTTAACTATACCTTAATTATTGCTAACTAATTATTTACTAGTTGCTTCGGTCTCTGTCACACTCATGGAATGATCATCCTTGGAGCATGAGTGCTTATTTGGTGTGCTGTAACGTCCGGTAGTCCATGTGTATAGCTTAACGAGTTTTGAGATAGATGCTGGGTGATTGAACTGTGATAATAGCTAGCCCAAACATACGAATCTGTAGACCAACAAGAGTGAAGCATACGTCAGCCTAAAATTAACTGCGTTGGTCAAAACGCATCATTGTTCAAGACTAGGGACGATAGGCTATAAACTAAACATACGTGCGGCCAAAAAATATTATAATTCGAATTCTGATTAGTAAATTTACCGAGTGATATCGATAAACCTCGCAGACATATCTGTAGAGCCTTGTTGTGAAACTTTACCAGTGATATGAATCTGACTCTGATAAAAATATAACCAGGAAAAAGAAGTCCTACGTTAGGATGCTTTAGATATCTAGTGCCTTTTGATGTTTAATGCTTATCTAGCTAGAGTCAGTCTATGATGCAAACCATAAATTGAATGTCTACAAGAACAGGGAGCAGTTAAATCTTGAGATAATCAACTGTTAACATCACAATTATTTTCATACACACAGTTTCTCCTGTCGACATGTTGATATGACGCTTTTAAAAATCTCCAACATTTCCGTTTGAACTTACAAACTTGATGTGAAGTTATTTGGGCGCACACACACACTTACATACTAAACAAGATTATGCTGGTTGGTAATAAACTAAACAGGCACAAAATTGAACGACAACAAAAAAATCGACTATTTAAGCTTATTGATTGAAAATCAACTCTTCAGTTATCCACCAGTTAGAGTATTTATGCGGGTATAAGAGAATTTTGATCTTTCTCATATATAAAGATGGCATGTCAGAGTGAAAAAAGGAACTACCTGTTAGTACATACACATATTACAAACACACATGATAAAACATTTAGTTTATATCGATCGATTTGATGAATACAATTATATCTGCCGATACTGTGTGGTTGTTTGAGCGGAAGAAATGGATGAGCAACTGAATAATATCATATATCCCATCCATATATTATGAGATTTTTGAAAGATTCGGATTCCGATGTAATCCAAAGTATGAACAGACAAAGTGGGCATAATACGATGAAACAACTGACCAGTGCTTCACGGTTTTCAGTGGTTATATAAAGTATAAAATTCATAAACCTCCACAAGTCCATCACACCAAGAATAATAATTCACTTGTAAGTGAATAACGTTGAGAAGTTATTTTCGAAGTTCTAGTGAGAAGCCATGATTAGTGGAGTCAAATATTACTGAGAAGTGGCTAATGGTCGCACGATATTGTAAATTAATTGGGTTTAGAAATCGTACACCATTAGATGTTCGCTCAATGGTCCAAAGCTCAAGCACTTGGTGCGAGGCCACAAGGTCCTGGTGAGTGCCCATTGAAGAGGAGTCGGATATCAAGACGAAGCAGTTGTCCAATGCTTCTCGATTGTTAATGATAGTCTAAATAAAGTCAATTTTACATGTAAACCATAAAGTGAACATCAGACCTAGTTGTCAGGCATGTGTAGAGAATAATTTGGATTGATGTTGATTTATGTCGTGGTACAAAATCAACTGGATCAATGTTGAGTGAAGTTTGAACATGCATATATATATTCGCCAAAGTTGTAGTACACAATAGCACGACGAGATCAAATTAACACAATAAATAGCGGAAATATCGAAATAGTTGTAGTAGAAACAACAATGAGGAAGATTAAACATGGTTGTAAAAGGTCAATAAGCGTCAAAGAATACTGGAATCTAAGATTTAGAGGAAGAGAAAATCAATGCATATGAGCCATGCCAACTGTTTCCTGTTATTTCATAGAACCAAATCAAGTAATATGCATCTACCGACATGGCTCAAATGAATAGCTAGTGACTTTATACACCAGCGTCACGTTTTGGTTTGAGTGATCTTAACTTTCTTATCATCTACTTCTACACTGAGAAACATCGCATATTAAGGTAACCGATGGTCGGGTATTAATAGCGCATATCCCAATCACTTCAGCAGATAAATGTTCACAACTTCATTTATCAATTTATCATCTTCGCTTAATACTCTATGACATAACCCAAACTGACCATTGCTTCATACCTAAAGGCATAAGGGTCATATCAGTTGAAGGGAAAAAATAACACTCACTAACCTGTAAATGTGTTATTCGTAGTGTTGTCTGAGCAAAATTCCCATTACTTTCACACTTGATATTTTCAATTAAAAAATCCGGAGTAACATTATTATTACTAAATTTCGAAAAGCTATTATTTGATCGATCAGATGGAGCAGGAGCATAGAGACAACCTGTGTGGCCAGAACTAAAGTAGAGTTTTTGATTTTCCACATCTGGCCAATATAAGTAACATTTGGAACGTTGAGCTTCAAGAATTCTAATGTAAAATATAAAAAACACAATTATCACCGATGCAAAAACACCCCTATTTTAACGACCTACATGTTATTGTCTATTAAAACTAAATGAAAATGACCTGAATTCTAAAATTTGATTGGATTAATTATCACCTTGGTTATTTCGCGTGGAAAACTTAATTTGCATTATTCTAGAATCATTTAAAATACTGGGAATTTATCCTTCACCAGTAGTAGCATACGGTGTAGGCTAATCATTTAACTGTAAAGCAAACCTGTGTTCACCTACGTTACAAGGAAGCAAGATTTTTACAAACAGCATGGCTCTAAAAATTCATTATAAAACTTGACTTAAGTCACTTATCATAATATTCTGCAACATTATTTATTTTAACACATAGATACTGGTACAAGGAGGCACCAAATACATATGCGCCACACAAATATCATTCGATATGTGTGAGGGCTGTGATACTGCCCGGGTGCCCAAACCGAATCAGGTGGTTTTCTTAGGGGGCCACATCCCGAGCCTTTGACCTAAAAGTCTAACTCACAAGGCAGTGGAGCATTGTGAGGAGATGCAGTCCCATGGTAGCTGGTGACCAAGATTGTTTCATACACCATTTGTTCCATCACGATACTGGAGCTCATGTGCACCATTGGTTTTCGATCTGGTTAAAGCGCCGGACATTCGCTTTTCGTCCTCTCGTTTTTGTAAACAACACCCCCGCCACGAGAAGGCAGTGAGTAGGACTTCCCTGGCAGAGGCTATATACGCGTGGCCATGTGAGAGCATTTCGAAAGGGAGAGCGGACTCTCCCCACTCTCGGCCGTACCAGGGCATTTGGGAACATACTACCACCAAACAACTCATTGATGTAAATGAGCGTGCAGAAAGGTGTATTTTGAGGAATTTTACACATATAGTTCCCTTTATCATCTTGAAGAATACGAGAACAAAGATTTAAACAGTATTATATGAATTCGTTTTGTTTTGTTCCGATCTCATCAGCTGCTTATAGCGTGTTATATTTAATATAAATGCAGCAAATCAGGAAATATTTGTTGAACACAAGACACCAAGTAGATAACTTGAAATCTCTCAAGGTGATTAACAAACAGCCAGTATTCTAGATTTTTCTGAAGTCATCACTATCAGGTGTCCGAAATTTGATTTATGTCTAAAGAGATAATAGTTAAGCCTTTCTGTATTTTGATAATAGAAACATTTCTTCCAGGTTTTTAATGGTTACCTTTAACTTGAATTCGTTCGTGATTTAAATAAAATTCGGTTTGAATCTTTCAATTGACCGCATTATTGAGTTATTTTTCGACTTCCTTTTAGATCAGTAATCTTATCTTAATTGAGTGAACTTTACTGGTTCTATTATTACTGACTATCAGCGTTTTTTCATTATGTGACCACCTACTTCTAGTTTTTTGGTCTTTTATTACTATTAATTTTATAGAATATCTGCAATACATTATTCAGTCTGTTAAGTTTATTTACATCATTACCATATCATATCATACTGATGTGTTCAAAACGGCCTCTAACTAAACTTATTTAGGTACATACTTTCAACCCATTTCGTAATTATAGTTTTTAAATATTACAGACTGAAAGAAGCTGATGAGGAGAAGCAGATGAAATAAAATAAATTCAAGGTATTCTGCTTAAAAAACTTTGCTTTCGCTCTATTCACGATAAAGAAAAGCATTGTGTATGAAAACTAAATTTGCCTATATTACAAAGCAAAGTAAACGGCTATATATATATATATATATATATATATATATATATATATATATATATATATATATATATATATATATATATATAGGAGTACATTGCAAACATGACTTACCTTGTGATCATGACAATAATAGGACAGTGATAATCCCAAATCATTTGCCAAAAATCACCTACAGTTTCCGATAATGGACCTAAATTTAAAAGGAAGTAACAAAAATAAATTCAGAGCGCAAGAAAAATAATATAATAAAAAGAACATATGACAGAAGATTGATTACAATGTGATAACTATGTAGTCGGAGAAAATACCATTGCATTTAATGTAATATTTCCATGATAGTTCTACTGTGAATCATAAACAAATGAGGGGTGTAAAATTATCAGTAAGATCATAAATGAAATTTCTAGTAAGTTTAAAACAAACTAATACGGAGAATATATTTTCTAGATGGTCAGGAAAGTGAAAATGTTGAGGGTAACCTGTGAATTCTTAAATTGCTTGACTATTTAAAGATAATCAGGGATGAGCTTATAACAATTTTCGTGACAAGTAAATAGGCACAGATAGTGTAAAGACAACAAATAATACTTTATTTGAGGTCACGATATCTAAAACTGAAGAGGAAAACCCAACTTCTGAAATGTGGAGGTGATGAGTCGGGTGATTTTAGGCATATGTTGTCTCATGGTCACATAAGACTGAGAAATGAAAACTTTGAGAGACTATTTCAAGTAAGCGAATTATTCACTTATTTGAAGCCACCAATTAAATATCTTCATGCATATCAGTCCCTCCCCCAATTATATACATGTTAATTCCGCCTGTGGCATAAAGCGTCGTAGAGATTCTTAGTCTTACTGGATTTTTAAGGTTGGTTCGATTAAGCATAAGAGCGTGTCATTATGAATGGCGACCATAACGGTGGTATTATTTAAAACATAGAAAACTACTAGAAACAAGTTACAAGTACGAATTCATCAACTTAGCCTAAAGGTATATTTTTGTGCGTAAATGAGAGAGAGCTACTAATACTAGCTAATTGTCTGACACAAGACAATAACTTGTGATGGTAACCATTCTCTTTCTCAATGTTCAATAAAAGTGTAATATCATGCATTTTAAAGAATTTTTCTGTTCATTTGGTAGGTCGGTAGTGCATAGAAGAGTGTAACTCATAGGAGAATACATTTGAATCATTGAACGCTATCTACAAACTCCTTTCATATACGCGCTACTGTAGCGCATTTGAATTTTCGGGATGAAAAAGTAAATAAAAGGGAAATGAAAACATAAAATGAAATCCTCAGTAAAAATAATACTTTAATATGCAGCACTTAATTACTTAATAAACAAAAGAATGCTAGATATTACACGCATATTGAAAATTGAGGAGTCACGCTGTAAATTCACGGACATGTATTCACCAAAAAAATGGATTAGGATTTAAAGCCTGAGGTTCTATGGTTGAAATTCAAATACTTCGATATCAGTTACCTTTTCTGCACACTAACCTTGATAATTAACGTCTGAATGGTGAAAACGTTAAAAAAAACACTTATAATGCAACTACATGGCAGACATCATAAATAATAAAATAAAAATAACCTTAAATTGACTTAAACCATTTCAATAAATCTGATTATTTTGTAATTATCATCAATACAACCAATGACAGGTATTTTTTAAACCAACAATCTGTTTTTAGAAGTAGACTAACAATCAGTTAGTTAATTAATTAAATCTTAAATATATAAAAAAATAACCAACTGAATTTTGTAACTGATTAGAAGAAGCAATCAATATTAAAAGCTAATTTCTGAATAGTTTTACCATGGTCAGAGTGTTATTCCATCAATCAATCATTCAGCAGCGATGAGCAACGGTGAACTTGAAATACATATATACATAGGTTCAAGTTGTCACATCATATGGCCTAACTATAGCGAGATGAAATAATTGGAACAAGTACAGAGATACTAGTACAAAAGATTAAAAACAGGCAATATAATAATTCAAGAAGAAACAGTGGATACATAGAATAGCAAAGTATAAGATCATTTCAAAAATTAGAAGGAAGACAAAAAACGAATGTATTTGGACTATTGCAACGTATTCTGAGACAAATCACCAAATTTCTCTGGTCATCGCAGATCCCAACCAGGTAGTAGTCTGCATGTTATGTCACCCGGACCTGTTAATATCAAGTGACTAAATCGCCAATTAGAATGCCGAGTTATATGACCTTAGCACTGTGCAAACCAAAGACACGTTAACCAGTACAAGCAGCCTAGAGTCATCTCTGAATCCTTTTTGTTTCATTTTGCTTAACCCTGAACGCTTGAGTTCAGAACACAATTTCAGCTTCTACTGTATGAATCATGTATTTCAGATATAAGCAGTTCATATACAAGCAAATCAGACCGCATTATATCACAAAATAGAAAATAACAATTACACAGCATCAGACCAAAAGTTTCTGTGAGATACTGTAACTTACATATTGGGGACAACTTAAGATTAGTAAATCGTATAACAGTAACCAATAGGTCGAATGAAGACTCATAATATAAGAAATAGAAAAAATTTATATAATCTAGCTACGTGATAGTTATATACACATAATAACAGTCCATAAATACTTTCCAGAAGTTACCCGTAATTTAATCTACTTCGAATATAACATTGCCTACCTACCAATACGTCACAGATCAATAATTAATGACATCATGAACTGATGTCAACTCGGTTTTGTCACATCTAACTTTATGCTATAAAGGAATACATATGAAGCGATAGTGAACTCTTGCAACCGTCCTACCTGAGGTTATTGCATTCATTTTTGAGGTATGGTTACTCAATAATTAAGTTGGTGTAATTTTGGATTCTCCTGCTTGTAAGCTTTCTACCGATATTCACTCTGTTGTTATATGTTGTAACGTAATTAATTTACCGTTAATTTATTTCAGACCTAATATAAAGTTCTTTTTAACTCATAACGTAGTATGACCACCATGTAATTTCTGATTATGTTGATACATCATCAAGATTTTACTCTACTTTATTGCATGAATGATTCAGAAATCTAAACTGTCTAATTAAAACTTTCTGCCAAATTTATTGTAATCTGTTCTGGCTTTCGGGTGAGCAACCGTGGAAGAACTACATTCTCAACCAATAGTCATTAAGTATTGATGTTTTCTAATTGTCATTGTGTTATTGGTTAGCAGGAGGCTGTTAATACTAGATAGACAATTGAGGTGAATTAATCAATACTCGAACAAGACCAATGCAGTTGCTCTTTAGTTACGATCCGATCACAAGGGCATCTGAAACAACTAAAGAAAAGTTCTTTTTCTTTCCGTCACATCGCTTTGTTGCCGAAAACCATCCACCCAATGTTACAATTTTTTTTCTAACATAATGTCACGTACGGAAACGCTTTAAGAGAACTGAGAAAGAGTATGGATCACATCATTATGATCAAATCATACCCAAACAAAAATTAGTGCGTAGAGAATCTCACTTTTATAAAGCGTACCTGGATCAGGTACCACACACCTAAGCAGATTATGGAAGAATACAGTCCTTTCAGCAATTATAAGACTATATGATTAAACATGTATAATATAACGTAGGCTTCAACAACACTGTATAATATAAAACAGGGCAAGTCAATATTTTTTGTCTATAATCTAGGTATAGTAATTAAAGTGTCTTTTTGAAATCTGTAACACACAACTGCATAATACAAGCCTGCATAAAGGAAAATCTGCATTTTAAATTCAATAGAACAGACAATAGTTTTGGTGTTACTGATTCACCGATAAGATCAGTCAGAATAAAATAAACAAATGTAGAAGAAAAACTTCTGTAAAAGTTGAAAATATAAACAAATCTATTTTAAAAATCAAAAATGATGAATATGATCAATTAATCAACAATGGAAAACGGTATCATTAGTACAATGAGCAATTATACACAACAAATAAATGTCACTTATTAATTGAGGAGGTTTAGTAGAGATCTGTTTAATTTGTGGGTAATGAGTCGTTAAACATTGGTTTCATTTGAATTAAATTGAAAGGCAGAAAGCACTAAACAGCCCTTTCGTCCCAGCATAGGACTTCTCAGAATTAAGCACAAACAAACCAGCCAGTGAACAAACTAATGATCCTCAGTTTTCACGATGAACACTTAGTCATTGGAACTAATAAGCTGATTGAGGTTAAGACTGTAAATTTGTTGCCGACCAAATGATCCTTATGATTAAGTGTTTAAAACAAGAACTCAATGTCCTGAGTTTAAACATTGGTGTGACCGGGGGTATGTACAGATAGTCTACCAATCAGTTACTCATATGCAACGTAAAACCTGAAACATTGGATCAAGTTGCCGTACAACATTAACCCAGAATGATAAATTTATATCAAGACAAATCGCTGAGTAGTATAAATAGTATGAGTAAAAGCAGTCGTATAACAGTAATAGGGAAAAGGAAAAATTTTATGAGATTACAGGTTTCAGAAACTAAAGATAAAGAGCGAATGTTAATGCACCACTGAAAACTATCCTGAGCCGTCACCCAAAGTCTCTAAACATTGGTTACGATAGTCACTCACAGACAAAGAGTTCCATGATGGATACTTCCCGATTTTCAACGTTATCTCAAGTGAGATCAATCTTTGACGAATGCTTTCTGCAAGATGATCATCGATTAATTTTTAAAGCATATTATATGCAAAATCTTTATTTAAATATTCGTCACCTTGAACTGTTTCGATAACATTTGATACATTTTTTGTAGTAGATATGGATGTTGGATTTCCAATACCAAATATTACATTTCTGTCAGACAAACAGTTACATTTAACTTATGGAACATACAGTAGACAATTTCATCGTTACGTACTTTATTTACTTATTTCTATAACATGCGAAACATCAAAAGAATATAAACTGCTACTCATTTTGAAAAATTGAATAAGACATCTTTTATTATTACTATTTACAAGATGGGAATGTTTTTCCGATTGTTTTATGGTTCAAGAAAAAATGTTATGGATTTTCAACAATCTTGAGATTTTGTTTCCACTCAATGGATATATGCATGATGCTCATAAGATATAACTGGTCATTTTCAGAAATAAATGATACACACAAACAAAACGTTGAGCCATAAAAAGATTTCAGTGACATCTAAGAGTTAGAAACACAGCTTAATAACTTTCCAATTTTAATAAATCAAATAACTAATGAATGTGACATATTTCTAAAATTATGATAAAAAGGGTGATTAGTCGAACCACAAAGACAAATTAAAAACACTAGCACTCAAGATAAATAGCTTATAGAGTAGTTTTACACATTACATAGAATTTTACTACATAAAGATATTTGTCTTAAAACAGCAGTAAAGTTATCAATGCGAATATGTTATCTGATAGTATTTATTGATGAATTTATTGGTAGTCCCTATATGAGGCTCTGTATGAGAGTTGAGAACATATAGTTACATTTCTCCCATCTCTGAATTAAAAGTGTTCTAAGCTAGTACCTTTCTTTAATTTCAATATCAGTTTAAATTGAAAAAAAATTATATGTTATGAGTGACGAAACATCTAATAGGGAGTAGAATCTTCTAAATGTTAATAAAAAGTGGAAACCATATCGGCATTCTGACATGAACTTTCGACATACTCACAAATTATTTATTTATTTGGACACAAAACCATCGCTGTAATATTGCCCGGGCGCCCAAACCAAAACAAGCGGTTTTTTCAAGGGGCTATACCCCGATAAGATAGCTAAGTATATTTTCCAAGTAGATGAACTGGCTAAGATGAATAGTGGTGTGAGTAAAGGTTTTGTCTTTGTTGTTATCTATAGAATAATATCATAAAATATAAGTGGTTTACTCAATTCAGCTTCCTAATAAAAGTTCACTTTAATGATGCTGGTCCTTCTCTTTTAATGCATGAATTAGTGTCTTAATGGTCAGAGGGCTCGACTTTCAACCACTGGATTGTAGGTTCGAGTCCCTCCCAGCCAATTTCGGTTCGGACAGCTGGTTAATAACACTAGTTGCCACACATAAAATGTGCATCAGAGTCCAGTGCTTAATAAACAAGTTACCTCACTCTTCCTCCTAATAATGCTCCAAGCGGAGAATGTACGTACAAATATTTGAAGCGACTTTTCTCGTCACTGATTATCATTTCAAGATAGTTGATTGGTTCGGAAAAAAATAATGTGAAAGGAGTAGTAGTACACAATTAATGGTTATCGATGTGTGGTCATTGAAGGTGAAATGTGATTGATTACTGAGTGTGGAAAAACAAACACAGACTACTCACTACAAAAATGCGATTTCCTCTTCACTAATAATTGTACCTTGGACTCAAAATTTGTATGGACAGTTAGTATTGCTTTAGATAAATCCAGTGTCCGACTTACATACTACGTTTCTTACTATATTCGGTCACGAATCGCGTATTTGGTACAACTGGATCCAAGTCTGTGTATGGGTCGCATTATTATATAATAGTAGTAAATCGTGGCTAATGAAAATATTTCTATTTTGTCTTTATGTCAACAATGTAAGGTAAATTTGGCAGAAAAAGTTGTGAGTCCTCTTACTGACTTTTACAGACCATTCTAGACAAATGACTACTCCCAGAGAACATTCAGTGGAAATATAATTCAAGTTAAATACTACGCAAAATGTAAACACGGAACGAACCAACATTATTGATGACCAGTGATTAAATAGATGCTAATTGATAAGCATTGAGTTTAAAGAGTAGTATCAAACTGTTGATCATCTGTAAAGTGATGGGATTAATTTTTTAAAATTTAACCACAATCTGTGTGACAACTTGAGTCAATGCATTTTGTGTTTCAAGCTTAACACTGGCTGATCAACTGACTAACTCTTTGACTATATACGATTTTTTATGAATAACTCAGGTTACAAACTTTTACAAGATGTCAGTTAGAAACGGTGAGTAAATTTTTCCGTCAGAATGTCTCAGATCAATCTCTCCTTATATCTATTTATCTATCTATTAGAATTATTCTACCAAACGGAATGTGAGTCATGTGACCGGACACAATAAACACATTAAAATCACAGAATTCTTTATAGATATTCTAAGATAAATAAATGAAGAATCTATTACTGATATCGTATATCATCATTAGTATCATCAATTAGTTACGCTAATTTTATGGGTAGTTTATTGATTGATTGTCGGAATCAAAAGGAAAAACTGTTGCATTGATTTAAACTAGTCAATTTAATTTCCAGCAACAGACGTATGCATCATCAAATTACATTATCCAGATTTTCTTAAAAAGAAAAACATTCACCATGCTCGATTTTCTCCACATTATTATTAATGATTTAAATTGAATAGTCGACCAGAAACAGCACTGCGATAACATATTTAAAAAGTCTATTAGAAAAAGGTATGTATTCGAAAGGCCATAGAAAGTTTTCTTCTGATTTAGTAAAACTGATATGTGACATCAGACTATGAAGTCAATGACTGTTGGTCTGATTCATATTGGCAGTGAATAAAGTTTTTTACTCATAAAACATATATTGAATCATAGTATATGTATTGTGTTATAGAAATTTTTTGTCACCGCATAGAACGCATGCTACATATCCGGAACAACTACCAATTCTAGAAACCAACGTTGTATGAGATTGGAGTATGTTGATTACTAGCTACCAGTGGGTAGATTTAGATATATCATCATTTCATGAATTCATTGACCGGTGATCTTAGCTGAGTCAATAGGTTTCAACTTCCAGGTTACGGCCAAACTAATGATAGTAATCAACGGTTCCAGATATTGGATTAAAATGGTATAAAGTCGGTTACAATTACTATTCTCTACCTTCTTGCAAATACTCGGTCGGGTGTTATTTTTTATTACTCAAAGTTATCCTTTTGAACTGAGCTTCTCACATTTCGATTTCCGTTGTCGCCGATATAATTTCTCACCTTATGCTTCTCATTCATCTTGATTTTTTTTCTGGGCTGGTCTAAAGTGAGAGGTAACTTGGACTGTTGAACGCTGGTTCCACGTCTTACGGTGATGAATTACCGACTGAATGAAGCGAGAGTAACGGATCTAAGAGAGTTGCATGAATTTCGATCCATAATAGTGCGATATACAGATATATATGCAAACATAATAATAACTTGGTTAAATACATAAAAAATAAACTTTGTTGCACTGTAAGCATCTTCATCGTGGCTTATATTAGTACTTCATTTGCGACTTCACTAATAAAACAAAATTTAAAGTAAGAAGCTGCAAATAGTTTTGCTAAAAACATAAAAAAATTATTAGATGGAGCAATCACAAATAAAACTTTACCACATACCCTGAGTACAGATAAAAGCGTTTTCTGTCGATAACCATCGACCCAATTGGCATGAATATAATTTTTTACTAGTGTATGCGCTGATATTGGTGCTGAATGTGTACGATGAAGACGTGCGGTAAGGGATTTCTGAGCATTACATAATACTGTAGGATCTTCATCACTACGACTAGTGGAAATTCTAGAAATATCCGACGATAATAATAATGGTTGGAGATAAACACGAGTTGCATCATGACAAATCACATCACAATAACGATTTTTACTCCGATTAAGTATATGCCTGAAATATTTGTGTGAATAACAAAAAAACGACAGGAAAATGAAATATAATAAACAATAAAACGAATATGACTGGATAACATTCTGTTGAGATACAAAAACATTTGATTAAAAAGCGTATCAATTCCCGTCAGTTCAACTCAAGTCAAAGACAATATACCAACATCAGAGAAAAGATTAAACTAAATTATAAAAAAAGTTAAAAGGGATTAACAAAACCCAGAACTGACAGTATGCTATGATACTGTGGAGATGACTGAAGGGGAAATAAGAAATGACAACATTTACACTTCTGTAATTGATGTTAACCTCTATCAACTAACGTCTTAACTAATATTATTTGTCATGCAGATTCTGACGATGTTTGTAAATCTATAGATTGTCCAAAACATTAATTATTAATTTCCTCATGAGTCGATGGATATAACTTAGTCAGGTATATTTTAAGCTTATATACCAGCAAGTAGTGTTCCGAAGTAGGTGCTAGCTGCGACTGTGTAACATTATGTCCCAGCTTTCCCAGATGACCGAGTGTAGACACGTATTAGGTTTTGATTTACGCATACTATATGAATAGTTAAGGTTGCTACTAGACTGAGGGCCGTTTTCGTAGCATTTGAAAAAATATTCAGAAGATAAAAATAGTTTTCTTGAAAAAAAAAACAGAGAACCATTAAAAAAGAATATCGAAAGAAACAATGATAAGAGTGCAATATAGAAATGAGCCTGAGCGATTCGTAAACAAAAATCGTAACAAATTCCAAGTCAGTTCCTAGCCAATTGGAAAGAAGTCTTTGCAAATATGAACGGTTAATTGAAAAAAGAAACGATAACAATATGGCAAAGATTTTATATATTAGAAGAATCTATTGGAACCGTATGTAAGTTTATGGTTAGGGTTTTTTATCATGGATTCATATCAGTTAAAATGTAAAAATGCTTTGTAACCACAAAGATGAATCGACTTCACTTGCAAAAGTACAAGAGACGCTATCTCATTAGTACACTCATAGAATATAGTGTCGGTAGGTTAAAATTTAGGGACCGTTGATTCGCCTATTATGTACAATCTACAAAGATAGAATAAAGCGCCTGATAGATTTAAAACTATCATTTTTTGCTCTGTGTTGATAAAAATTAATCTTTCACAATCACTTGCAACGTTTTGAGTAGCATTAAAAGGTATTTCTACTGTTCTTTATACTTGATATTTTAATCTGTCGTAAAAAACCTAGAAGCTGTATTCACGATATCTGATTGGCTCGTCATTATACATTATAATTTAACTAAAATAATATACCCAATAAAAGTGGCATAAATTTGAGCTTTTTTTCAGTTTGTTAACATCCACCTACACTACTTATTTGTTTAGTTATCTATCATAGTTGACAAGTCAACTCTTCAAATAAAAATAGAATGTCTAGTTAATCTCAAAATATTTATAGGTGGGTGGATGGACTGATTACATTGCTGAGGGTAATTGTCTCAACGTTATATATATATATATATATATATATATATATATATATATATATATATATATATATATATAATATCATGTTTTTAGTCGTAATTACACTACTAATATTAATGATGAATACTTTAACATCAATGATTAAAAAAGAGAAAACTTATGAGAGAAAAATTAATATGGCAATACGAAAGGTATGTGTAAGTTGTTGTAAGAGAAAATTCTCATATTCAATGATAATAATAATAATAATAATAATAATAATAATAATAATAATAATAATAATAATGCACATTCTAATCTGAAAGAAGTATTTATTCCAAAATTTAAGCGTATCAAATCTCCAAATAAAGAGTAAAGCATAATAAAACACAGTGCTTATTATATATATATATATATATATATATATATATATATATATATATATATATTAAGAATGCCTTCGACAACATGAGTGTAACGGTTTCTTCGGAAAGAAACAGTCAAAGGCGTCATGAAATCGAAAATTAACTATACTAGACATGAAGACAATCCATGGGATGTGTTATGAATGACTGTCACAAAAAATAATCAAGAAATTTATTGCTTATTTAACATGTCAATTATTATTAAGGTTGTATACACCAAAGATTGATCGCAGTTGGGATACCATTAAGAATGAGAATGCACTGGAGAGCTAAATATGGGACCTCCAACCAGCTAACATTTTAACACAGTGCACACAATCTGAGTTCACTTAGACTAGTATTTACATTCCAAATCGATCGATAGAATTTGATTAACACTGAAAGACTAGACAAGAATGACGGTGATCATCACTCTATCATCAATCGATTGTAAGTATTGCGGTCCTACAGGAGATTATTAAATAAAACAGTAGATTCTCATAATGTAAAGCATAGTGAAGCGGGTTGTAATCTCACATTGAAAGTCATTCTCAATATTGCAGGTATGCCTTTCTGATGAGTCCCGGCTATCATGAAATCTGTAGCTAGCAAGGCTCCCTACCAACTACATGTAAACAACAGTGTTAATTTGTTAAACTTACGATACGTCGTAAATAACAATCAGAAAAAATGATAGTCTCCCTTGTAATTAATTCTCAACTCATTTTTGTCACTAAAATCACCAATCCCTTAGAAGCTGTCTTATACAGCACTGCTGTGCAACGATACAAGTCCTTAAACCGCATACTATGTAGAAAGTAAATCCAACAGAACAAAAACTGAAGGATGAGAAAACATTACTAAACAATTGTGAAAAATAATTATTAGAAAAATGTAGCCCGAAAGATAAATGAAATCGAAGAACAAAAGGTATGGAGTAATTGACAATAGTCTACACATTTCTACACCAATCATATTTATGCATAGCAGCACGTGTCAATATAGTAATGCCATGAATTTTTAAAACCCTGTCGCTATTTTGGCTGACATTACATACATCAGAGTGGACGACTACTTGCCATAGGTAAATATATATGAACTAGTAATCTCAATTGATTCATGTTCACAATCTTTTTGAGACTAAACTTGATATTAATCTCTCGATGGGTCATTCCATTAATTGAACGAAATAACTTGTTCCTTTTTTTGAATACCTGTAATTTTTAGATATTCTTCAATCATATTCTTCAATCTCAGCTGCCATGACTCACAGGGTGAGGGCAGTAACCAAATGGTCTTCTGAACAGTATACTCGACCTTCGAACATACATCCATCGTCAGATCGATGGACAGGCATAAGCTATCGCATGACAAACAAACAGATACTCGTAGTAAAACTTTTTTCTGGCAAATGAGTGAAAAACAACACAACAACCCTTAAATGAAACAGATGTACAGAACACCAACGTTAAAAAGAAATATCTTAGATCTTTCATATATCAAATACTAAGTGACTATGATTAGTTTTCTTATAATAAAGTGAGACGTTTGATAATGATACCACTTCAACTATTTTTATGAGAATTTCTATTCGGTAATTAATCATATATGTACATGAATCCATCGTATACACTACAGCCGTATTTTCTATTGTTAACAAATACAATTTTAAATAACATGTGTACATAGTGGAAGATCAGTGGGAATCACTCTAACCCATTAGTACACATAATAACAATAAATGAAATACTCACTTGAAAGCAATATGTGTATATTCGTTCTTCAACTGAACAAGTGCACTATACTCTGAATTAAGTCCAGTCAAACCAACATTTTCAATGTGTTGTACTAGTTCATTTGGATTCATCCAATGTTCTTGCATAATAATTGTTTGAGTCACTTCCAAGTTATCGTCATCATCTTCATCCTCTTCTTCCTCCTCCTCCTCCTCCTCATCATCATCATCATCATCATCATTATCCTCCTCTATTTCTTCTTCGGGTTCGAAATAATCATCGTTAACAACTACATCGATTACGCCTTCATCATTTCTAGCTGAAACATCATCACTGCTAGATGTTGTACTATTAATTTCAATCATATTTGCGTCAATTTCATCGTATATCCTTTGTCTTTCTACTGATGACGATAATGATGCATCTCGATTATTATCACAGCATGTATTATGATTATTATTGATTGGTGAAGCAATAGACACTGTTGTATTGTTAGCAGTATGATGAAGAGGAGAAGAGGAAGAAGAAGGAGCTTCTTCGCCCCATTCATTGCATTTATCATAGCTTGAAGAAACCAAATAACTTAATGATGAAGAATTCAATGGAGTAATTTCTGTAGTTTGACTATTATTCATTGAAGATGATGATAATTCAATAGGATATATTAAATCATGGTCTTGGTGAATTGATTCCCCTTGAGGGCGACCAATTGCCCAATTAGGGATAACATCTAATGACGGATGACTAGTGTTAACTAGTCTGGAATCAAACGCTTTTTTGTTGATGGAATAGAAAAAGCAAGGAAGAATAAATAGAATGAAACGGAAACGAAATAGTTTATATTACGGACTGACTGTAGTTAAACAACCTCTGGAAATCAGGATGAACAGGACAGCTAATCCATTCTAATATATGGAGCCGCTCTTCCTCAGTAGTGTGCGTCAACCACCCCACCAGAGATCGAACTCAGTACTTCCAAGTCTATATGCGAGTAATTAACATTTAAATCGCTGAGCCTAAGTAATATACGTTTATCATATACATGTTGGCCAACGAACATCAGATAGACCATAACAGTGAAGCAGAGAAAATATTCCAACGTTAAATTATTCATATGGAAAAGTTACTGATCTATATAATATAACATAAAACTTATTCACTTGTGCAATAGTTAAACTTTCGGGCCAACTGTTTTCCAACTACACAATTACACAATTGCCTGTCTTACATCTATCTTAACAATGCTACATAACGCACTTACGGGTTTTCATGAAAAGTCTATGAACCATATCAGTATGGAGAAGCGGTTGTATATTTTTATCCTTGTCTATCTCTTATCGATGTGACAGATATCCGTCTATATAAACGTATGTATTCTGCAGGTATTTTATTTCCTGAGCTAGGTGATTTAATTATGAAGCTTTACCTGACTTTATACATAAAATAAGATAGTTCTTTTGACCTGAAACAAGTTGCTAGTTAATTGTGAAGAAATTCTGACAGCCCATGATCTTGGTTACAAAATCAATGAAAACATCACGACTAAACTATTAAGCTAAAGGAATAAAACATACCAAATTCCTCAACCTGGGTAACAAATATTCTCCATCAGATCTATTTTTAATACAATGTCACGCCTTTAGAGAACCAGGGTCCGTTTATACACGTATATCTCTTCTGATACTCGTAAAATTAACAGCTGAAGCTTTACTACTATAGTAATTGAACTGTGTTACACAATAATTATGCCTGAAAAATGTGGTCTACTAACTTGGAGTTCACAACAAATACGAAATCTTTTCTTATAGCTACTCCATGATGGGATTCTCAGTTAAATAATTTGTATAATGAATCAAAAAACCTTAGAGAAGGTATATGAAATGAATTTAACCAAAAGCAAAATATAAGTGATAAAAGGTAAGATAAATGACAATACAAAATTGATTTACCTGGAACTCTTGGCAACATATGAACTGGATTTTTATTATTACAAATAGTTCGATCTCCTATTTCATCTTGAGCAAGAGGTGCAACTTTATTTTGGATGGGAGCTAAACAAATAGAATCTGAAATTTCAGCATCTGCAAGAGGTAAGTCAGGATCCTTAGAAGTTGTTAAACCTGAAACTTCATGGATAACTTTTGACATTCCACGTCTTTCGAATTCAGTTGTTTTCGGTAAACCTGATGTTATTAACTGGTTTAAGAGTTTATCACTGATTGGACTGCATTTTTTAGAATGTACACCAGTAGAACCAGTCGAGAAGAAAGATGTATTGGATGAACAAGATGAGTTAAGTGCATGAGAATTCCCATAATTAAAACCAGTTTGTTTGGTATCAAAAGCTTCGGATATTAAAGGTGAGTTGATAGAATTGTCAGCAGTAGGAGTTACAGGGTCAATACGTACCAATGATATGTCTTCATTAAAACCCATAACATGGTTCCCTGAGGTGATTGCATTTGAAGAACGAGTATTTGTATGATCAGATATGAGAGTGGGATAGTTCAAATTCGCAGTATTTGACAGTTGTGGGCGTTTAGCAACTGTCGGAGGAGTAGGCGTCCCACCATGTTCTGAATTCGATAATGTTTGACGTTTATGATCATATGAACATGCTTCCGAGTAATTTGAAACGGATTTTGGATTGAAATTCTGGAATACAAATCAATTGAGAGAAAAAGATATCATTTTTCATTAAGGAATTCCACAAAATTTTATGATTTAATTGTTAACAAAAAATGTGTCGTGAAAGCATAAAGGTTAAAAATTATTTGATTTTTGGTTGAGATCATGAGTCAATTGATGTTAGACCACCGTTGGAAACCTGGAAGCACTGGACGGCCGTTTCGCCCTAGTATGGGACTCCTCAGAAGTGCGCATCCACGATCCCGCACCCCGCGGGATTCGAACCCAGGACCTAATGGCTTCGCGCCTGAGCACTTAACCATTAGACCACTGAGCCGGCACCCAATGGTGTCCACAACCCTCATACTGATAATTAACGGGAAGCTTTCAATTGGATAACTATTTAAAACCAGTAATTATGGTTATTTAACTAAGGTCGGTTCGTGATGTAAACTATGAAAGGTCAACAACCTTCATAAACCCCTTTACATTCAAAACAATCATGTGTTCACTAATAAATAATCTTGATAGGTGATTCGCAGTTTTAGTGAGAAAACGATAATGTTGAGTGTAATGCAATTTACCGATCAATGCCAATGGAAGATGGTTGCGCGATATCGTGAAATGAATGAAGTCAGAAATATAAACCCTTGAATGAGGACTCAATGGTCTAAAAGTTAAAAACTCATTGAGAAGCCTGAATTGGTGGATGTGAACTGCTGAACCTAATGGTAGGATAAAACAGCTGTCCGGTGCTTAGTTATTTCCAATCATTACCTGACCAGGCTTAGTCTGTAACTTAAACAATATTATTGGATAACCGAAGTTAGAAAGTTAATCTCCCTGTAACGTAGTGTTTTTAAGTTATCGTACTGGATTTGAAACATGAAGATCCTGGGTTTGATCTAGTGGGTGAGGTCGTATATTCGCATTGCTGGTGAGTTCTAGACTGTAACGTAGTGCCTGTCCTTTGTACTGTGTATAATCTAGTGGTTCAACAGTTGATATCACAGTTCTCAACAAACTTAAAATTCTGACTGAATTAGTGAAATAATTTTATTAATCGATTTTTTAAAGCTTTGTCCAAAAAGAATATTGTCTAATCAATCAAACTCTTTTCCATGTACGCACATACAAACAGACAAACACATATTAGCGCGTATATACACAGCAGCGAGCAACTGTGTATAAACAAATATTTACAGATAAGAGGAGTATGCAGTGGAAACTTGTTCTAGAACGAAATGTAACAGCATATATATATATATATATATATATATATATATATATATATATATATATATATATATATATATATACTGTCACATTCACAGTTTTACCTATCTTGCACGGGTGATTGATTGGTTGGTTAGATAAAATCGGTTATGGTTGTTTAAATTGCTTCAGTTACCAGACACTTGCCATTATTATTATTATTACAGTTATCAGTGCTGGTGTTATTGTGTTTTCTGCAGACAAAATTCACTAGTACATTTCCCAGTCTTCCCCTTTTCTCTACTATTCCATATGTATCACTAGGCCTCAAAGCTGAGTATATATTATGTAAAACTGATTGGTCATTGAGTAGTGAATAAATTTGTCATGTTTGTCTAGTCTTTTAGTCCCAGTCAAATTCTATCTATCCCACGGGGAACATCAGTTTCCTTAAGAGTCTAGGTACACCTTAACGACAGGTGCCAACTAGTATAAGACACAGGTCAAATAGGATTAATATCCCACTACTTCCAACTAATTAACATCTCAAAATAGTGTACACAATGTCCAGTCAATTAACCAATGGTTACATAGTAACTTGATCAATAGAATTTGATCAATACTAAATGATTAGACAAATATGACAATGATCACTACTCAATGATAAATTAATTGTAAATATTGGAGTCCTACAGATTACTTATCGTCCGAATAGGTCAACGTTAACATCTCGGACAGTGAAGCTGGGAGATGAGGGTCTGAGTCCCATACCGAACATCGATCCCTACAATATTGCAGGTATCCTATACTGATGAGCATGAAACTTAGACCAATCGGTATTTTCTGTTAACTACAACCACTTGATATATAAACGTGTTTGTAATAAGGAAATAAGTCGTATTAAAAAGAAGCCCCGTTTCACCTACTTTAGTCTGAACAACCGATGTGAATTAACCAGCCGTCATGTCTACGACTTAAAGCTAAATTCATCAACATATACTTAAGGTAATAAATACATTTTTATCAGGTCATATAACATGTTGTGTCATGATTGACTTATTGATAATGAGTTATGAATCAAATAAAATTATGTAGTATGTATAAAAACTAACACTATCATTCATTTTTTCTGAGTTAGATGATGAGAATGTTTTCATTATTACATCCGATGTACATTCTTCTATATCTGAACTTTCAGCTTCACCGGAATATGAACTAGTCAAAGAAAATGGATCTAAATCACCAACACTAATTAAATCATCATCGACAGCAGCATCATCTAGTTGATTAGTGGAAAAAGAATCATCATCTTCACGAAACTCAGAATCACTAGAATCCGATAATGACCCGGTAGATTCTGAAGGTGGACCGAAAAATGCACCAACTGTTTGATTACGATGACCAATAGGAAGTGCGGCCTGTAAAAAAAAGATTACAAATGATGTTAAATTAAATGAATTCATTTACTGAGTACTTGAGCATGAACCATACAATAAATGTAGGGGTTAATGATACTTCTCTGTTGACAGAACCGAAGTAGGTGGGATGGGGCTCAAACCTGAGACTTAGTAGCTGAAAGCCTAACACCATAACCACTAAACTACCACTCCTTACACACTAACATGAAATAAATATACATTTTGCTTTCCAACCTCAATAACATTAACAATAATCACATGTAGCTAATAGATTGTATCAATACCAAGCTTATTTATATTTTCATCTGATAGTAATGAGATTATGCACTTTTTTGACTTCAAAAGTTTCGAACATTTGATATGCTTGCTCAGTAAATTCAGTGCTGAGATCAAAAAGACGGCAAAAGTGCTGCAGAATGATAGCATCAAAGAATTGAGAGTAGTCTTAGAGACTGGTTACTGTTCGAATAGAAACCCATACATAATAGATATCAGTGTTTAAAAATAAGAACTATATATCTATCTTAATTTAGTCTTCATTCATTTGGACAGATACTGAATGATGTGTAACAAGCTAAGTGGATGAGACACTCACAGGTATTTTTGTATGCAGACTAATCAATTAATTAGGCTTTAGATGGTCACACAATATCGCGACTAGATTGAAGTTAGACATAAGCACCGTCGAAGGCCAGCTAAGAGTTTGGGAATAAGACCGAACATCTTAGGTTCCATTCCCGGTCGCAGAGTTGTGGATGGGCACTGAGTTCTAAACTAGGATGAAGTAAATTTCCAGTGCATCTCGACTCTTAATGGAAGTCTAGCTACGATCAGTTCGTGATTTAAAGACTATCAAAATTCTATAACCCTCACAAAACGCCATACTGATAATAAGGCTTTACATAATTTACATTTATTCAGGACAGACAAGTTTTTATCTTAAATAGAACGAAATTTGACTAGATAGATAATTTAAGTCTGTTTATTGATCATACTATTACTTACAATACATCACTTTACGTGTGAAGGCGGAAATTCAGCTTTTTATCGAATAGTTTTAAAAAGTAATATAAAATTCTATTATATAATATACAGTGTTATAACATAGAAATAAGAACACAAGACACACCTGTTCTGCTTCAGTCAATAACCATCCAGTTCTTAATAGAGCAGTTTGAAGCCAAGCATAATGATCACGTTTTAAAATAATGGGATCAGGATGGCTAAGTGCTTCTAATTTGGTTCCCGGTGAAGGACGAAGTACATATACACAATCTTGAAATAATTCACGAATAAATACTCGCATTAATAAGAAAGGAGCACGAAACCAGAGAGGAGCAGTTAAGATTAGTACACGCCGGAGACGTACAGGATAGGAGGACTTAATATAGAAAAACATAATAAAAACAAAGAGTAAACGTCTCCAAAGTTAATAAAGTAGTAAATTTCAATTGGAAACATCTAGTCTAAATAGATAAGACATATCTTCAAGCCAACCTCCTTTAAGTTATTCAGATAAAGGCCTGTAAAACAAATAATTTGATAAACAGATAAATATTACACTGGAATCATGAACTGGTCTAAGTTGTACCGCGATTTGGAAACCTGGAAACACTGAACGGTCGTTCCAGTGAGAAGCCGTGACCAATGAGGTTGAACCGTGTCGGGTGTGAGGTAGTTAGCCATTGACGAGAATGAGAGATGGTCGCGCAATATCGTGGACTGATTAACTTTGTACATTAACACCGCTGGTTACAGGCTCAGTGGTCTAGAGGTTAGGCATTCGCAAATGAGACTGAGGGTCCTGGCTTCGACTCCCAAGAGGAAGGTTGTGGATGTGCAGTGTTGATGAGTCCCACAATAGGACTAAATGGTCATCTAATCCTTCCATTTTTTCAATGGTGGTCCAAATTAAATCGGTTCATGATTTCAATTAAATTCAACAATTTCCGAAACCCCATACTGACGAAGGTATATATTAAACGGATTTACGCAGTCACCCATTTGTAGTTCCAACAAATTAATTACAAAAAAGTGGTTCTGTAAAATCTTAGTCTTCAAGTGAAACAATCACAGTACCCGATTCAGACCGATGAGTTCAAAATCCATTGAAATTTACTGATCATCAACTAGTGACTGTCGTAGCAATAAACGAATAAAGAATAAAATTGGCATTAATACGTTTTTAACCAGAATATTCTGTAAGTCGAACAATGTTTTGTAGGTTGCTTTTTTTTAAACTCGAAGATGACTGAAAATATGGCGAATGAAGCGCAGTCTTAAAAAAGTACTCAAAGTCGTAATATTTATCTACCGTACAGAAAAATGTGGCATAAGACGATGTTTCATTGTCAAACAGTGTAAGTATCACTAATTGTGGATTTCTATCAAGTTAATGACTATAGATCTTAAAGATAATTTGAACGAACAATTAAACGCTTAACGATCAAAGCTAAAACAAACTATCTCTCAGCGTTCATCATTCAGTCTTCTACAAATTCAACTGCTGCATTTTTTCCATGAAATGAGAATATGACGAAGCTATCAACCCGAATTCACCACAAATTAAATAGATCACTTCAATCTAACGAAAAGTCTGCACAATAAGACTAAGTAGTAACATGCAATCAAAGCAAGAGAGAGAAGGCAGTGATGATAAGCAGTACTAAACGGTTGTTAAAATTTTCAAAAGACAGCTTAACGGGCAATCATTGGAGAGAACAGAGATTCACTGTTTAAAAAGGCACCAAGACGATGGGTGTAGAAACTACAACTGCCTCTAGCTATTCTACAGTTGTCCACTACCCAGCAACAGCGTAGGCATGTGATTAAAAATTGGCCTCCAACTCTTACAGGACTCGAGAAGGTTACAACCAACTTTCAATAGGTGAGAGGACTAGGACATCAGAGTTTATTTCAGAAGCGTGACGGTACTTTGTTATCAGTAAGATTGACCGAGAAACTAGGGAAGGCCTGAGAGATGGACAAAATCCTATCAAACTAATCTTAATCGCAGGTCATAACAGTTTATGAAGTAAAATATAAATTTTGTGATAACTACAAAAGAATAAGGTTGATTAATACCGAGACCAAATATTGATTTCCATAATAATCCAAAGCTTACGTAAAGCCCAGCGGAAGCAAACCTATAAAAACTAAGCTGGTTTCAGACGTAGACAGGAATGTATAGATGAAGAATTCATACTTCGACAGTTCTCAAAACATAGTAAAATGTTTGTCATTGAGAGGTATGTCAACAAAGTACATGAAACTATGTACGTTCCTTCATCAGAATACTTCGGTTTCGGCAGCCGGTTGGTATTACAAACCCCTAAATAATCGAAAAGCTATCTCAGAATCAAGCAAAATAGTTTGTACTTCGAAAATAATCTATCTTGGATGTTTTGCGTGAAAATGTTAGGGAAAAAACATAGTAAGTAGTGGGAATAAAAAATCCAGAAAAACATAAAAGGATGAGTAATTTCGAGTGATAAGAAACACATATTTAAACTGTCTTTAGTGCTAGCTTCAACTCACATGTGTACAAGGATAATTTAATAGGTTCATAAATAAGTCTTCGAAGGCCCTAAATGTTTTTCGCTTATCAGTTTGTCACCAATTACAGACATCTTAACAGAATATAATCTTGAGACTAACATATACAATGGTTTATATTAAGTATAAACTGGAATCATTTTGCATGTAAAAAAAGAATAAGTATGATGAAAACAGGCTATGTGTACACACATATGACGCAATAAAAAAGACATACCAAATAACTAATGAAATTATTCTTGACAAACAAAAGAAAACTCACTCGTAACATTTTGAATAACTTGCATGAAAATGTATAATCGAAATTTGAATATTTTGAATCGGTCATATCAAAAATGAATACAAGACCATTTCTAGCAGCTGTTTCTCTACACACACCAAAGACAAAAGCAAATGTTGTTTAGTGACAATGAAATTGTTGTACATAAAGCTTTCAAAGAAGTAAAATTAAGGGTCAGTTAATTAGTTATAAACAACGTAGAGCATAGTAAAAATATACATCGGATCGTTACCATACTACATTGGTACGACAAGATGGAATTGACAAGATTTATAGAAAAGATGAAATAATTGTTATGCCAATCATAGCGAGAAAGACTAAGCGTTAAGAATATGATCTCCTCAAAAGAAAAGAATGAAAAGGTATGTATGAAGGGATACTGAGATTAAAAATCGAGAATAGTATAAATTATTTATTTATTTATTTATTTATCTATTTAAACACATAAATATTGGTACAAGGATGCACCAAACAGATATGAGCCACATAAATCATTCGATTTATGTGAGGGCTAGGATACTGCCCGGGTGCCCAAACCGAAGCAGACAATAGGATAAAGAGTGAATGCATATGCGCTAATGAGAACGATTCTGAGCCATGTCACTTAATGTTTCCAACCAACGATCGAGGTTATTATTCGAATACTAACCAAGTAGTTGGGAATAAGAATATTTATAACTTAAATTTATTGTAACTAAAAATCATAAGTGGAATTTGAAACTACAACCAATGAAAGCATTACAATAACAATTTATCAATTAGATCGCTTTGCATTTGTGTCTGTTAGTATAATAAAAGAAGAACTACAGTAAGCATAGAACACCATTTAAATTATTATGAAATTTGTTTGATAAACATAACAAAGAAAATATCCATCACAATTCCAAATTGCACACCCATATAACTTGGCTTACAAATACAACATATCAAAAACTTTACACGAGGAAAATCAACTGTATCATATTTCTTTTTGCTTAATGTAGACTTGACCATAGTTTAGTTAGCAGAAGGCGATTATCTTCATTATCTTGACTTCCTTTTATATTCCCCTCAATGACTAAGTTTGATAATCTCAATGTCGTAAGTGTTCGGATTTCTGATAAAGTTATGAAACAGATGTAGTAAGACGTCAACTGCATTTTTCGGACGAAACAGATCATACTTTACATAAATACTTCAAAAACAAACGAAAATTTTCATATGCATGTGATCTTTATACGTGAGGCAAACATCTTGAGGATATGATAGATGAGGAAAACTACAAGGCGTATAAACTGGCATGTACAGTGAAATTTTCCTAAGTTTAATTAAGTATAGATTAGCTAGAACGCCTATTTCTTGAAGATTGACTGTATAGACAAAACACTAAAAAACTGTACCATTGCAGAGAATTAAAATATGATAGGAATTTGGTCTTACTAAAGATTGGAAGTGATGATATTATTCTCTTGAATGGTAATCATTTGAGATAATAGTTTTTTTTTTTAAAAGGTAAATTAAAAGGGGTTGTTCCTAAAATCTCCACATTACGTTTCACGCTACAATATCACATTATCGTAGTTGAAATAAGTTAACAAACAGATCTCTTTTGATTCCGGTAGTCAATTAATAGAAAAATACTGTATACTTGAAGAAAACTAACCTCTACTGTATGGGCCACAAGAAACCATTGATCATTTATATATTCATGACATTATGATGACTAATAAAGCTTATTATTAACGCTACTCCACTTAATAAATTCATAATTTTATACATAAAGAAATACATCGTCTATGAAAAAAAACGTTACTTTCACTGTGATGAAACACTAAAAATTATATGATCACTTCCTAAGATCGATTATTTGAGGATTCTTACGTTAACATGATGTATCATTAGCCACTATTAAGATTCTTTAAATTGTAAAATTCACTTTCAAATTAGTAAGATATACCGTTTAAATTAACAAGCTGATAAACCGACAACCTTAAATTAAGAAATCAGTACTATTCCCCGAGGTGGATGTTTAATACACCTATGGATATTAAAAGTGGTTTATATATGTGTGCACTTAACTCGTATGTTGTAAAAATTAAGTTAATTCACCTTCTCAATGCAGCATCTAGCTGAAAGATGATACTGTGCAACAAAGCCCGATGATTTCCTGATTTTCGATGTAATCTGACAAAAAACTGTGCCACACGAACACCAGGTATGTCATTATCATTCTATTTAGGAAAAAAATAGTAAATTTAAATTATAATTACGAGAATGACGAATTTCCCTGACAATAATTCACGTCTGACATCCTCTTCGAAGGGATCAACACGAGTAATCTGTTCACTGGCCAAAAATGTCTACAACAATCAGGTGAGCACTATAAGAGTACGAAATATACTTGATAATTATGATACAGCTCCATAGCCTGTGGGACAGAAAACTTGCGTGCAGCTAAAATATTAAAAGCTAGCTGATGATATTCAGGAGAATTTTGAGAGTTTTGAATAAGTGAAAGAAATTCTTCAATTTTCTAAAAAAAAAAAGAAGGAAAATTTCCTCGATACCAGAATTTTTGGAGGAAAAACTAAACACACATTTAAAATTCGGAAAGAAATAATCATAACGTAGAAATAATAATGGTATAGATATGAAAAAAGTAAGCGTTTATACTGATTTATTTACTACTGAAGTCCCGTACGATAGCCAAATGACAACTTCACACATATCTGAAATGATTACAAGTGATAGTAGATCGTACAGCCCAAATGTCTAAAACATCACAGTATGTATATGACTACGTTGCTACATATAGGGCGTAATATGAAATGTATCTCATTGATTTAAAACTTAAGTGTTAGCCCACAGACCTGAAGGTGAGGTTGAGGATCTCAATCCTGGGGAGACCCATGTTAGAATAAAACAGGTTTTGTGGATAGGTGGTCCAGTGTTAGGAACGCTCGACTTTTAGCAATTATCCAGGTTCGAACTCTGTCTCATCTACTTTGGTGTAGATAACCAGATTCCAAAACCAAAGTAGATGGGGCAGGGTTCGAACTTGTGGCATGGTGCTTGGGAATCAAGCACCTTAATTACTGAGTCGCTGCTCCACATGACTGCCACTAGGTACTATTCTGAGTCATATCTAGAATGACATTCATTAAACAAGATGTAAACAAACTTTGCAGGTACATCACTCTACAGAAGAAAATTCCAGAGTACAGTTCTTGCACACCAGATCGAAGACAAGACTAATATCAAGAAACAAGACGATTGTTGGATTGCAACAAGTGTAATGATGTTTTTGTATTTGAAGGGAGTGAAATGCAATCAACATACATATGATCCGAAAGTAAACTTGCTCCCTGAGGGTCACTTTTTCGCGAGTTTCTATATGGTCTGCAAAGCATGTTAGAACACAATAGTTTGGAAGCGATCGACAGTAAAATCGTTTGTATAGATAGCGGGGTGGACCGAATTCAAATCCCTCCATAATTACCACGCTCGTGTACACATACGCAAATATTCCCACTTAAAAAATATAAGAAAAAATCCTTTGGCTTTTATCGACTGCTTAAGAGACTATTTCCCGTCAGTTCACTTGAAAAATAGCAGTGGCTCTCTAGAAAGCATTATGTATAGGCAGTGCAATCAAAAGCTTTATCTGAAATTCACGATAATTCAGTAAACCGCTACTACGGTGGTACATAAAATGCAACTTAATGTACGAATGCCAAAATATGAGATATAATAAAATGTACGAAGCTTTTCAGGAATGGAATATCAAAAACCCGGCAGTTCATGCAACTACACAAACATCCTAAATACGATGAAAACAATTGATGGGTTACTCAATAAAGATGGGTCAGTTTACAGAACCCAAAGTATAAGACACAACTAAATGACAGGTAGGGAACTAACTCACTCAGCCTTAAGAAGACTGAACTACAGTAAAGTTCCAGCACAATACGGGGATACTAAGGACATATCTTCAATTGACGCCAAAACAACGGTTGATTGGTAGCTCATCTAGATCAGAACATTAGTCTCTATGACAAGATTGCTGAAAGAATCCCAACATGAACAGTGTAAGGTAGGTATCTATATATCCTAAGCAATGGATTTTGACGTTGGTGTAACTTATCCACCAAGTATATATTTATGCATTCAGCTTCAGGCCATGTTTGTGAGGATTCCTGAGTGACCGATTTTCAAAGCTGAGGGTGAAGCGTGACCCGAACCTGAGAACTACTTGTTGAAAGTCAAAGAGTACTAAGACACCGCAACCAGTCGCTCACTGAAGGCAATTCTACTTACCTTGATTACCTATAAATCTTAGCCTAACAATAAAACTTACTGCCTCGTAACCAAAAAACATAAAAGTGATGTTCATAAGAATAAAAACACCTGTAATAAGTAAACCAACAGGGAATAGCAATATATATATTGCTAAATTTTTATTTCTATAGAAATAAACATTTAAAAGCCTACACACTAGAAACAACGCGACGAAATATGTTGATAGGCGGGAAAACTAATGAAAAAAGCAATGAAAAGGTTTCTTTTACCTTTGTCTCATCTTCCGTTAGTTTATAAGAGTCCAAGTGATATTTCATAATAAATCTACCATTAGAACTTGAGGGCTCAAACTAGGCGCCTCTGTAAAGGAGGTATCCAAACAAGCCTCATGAATTCAACTCCAAACAAACGTAAAAACGTCATTTTACTTGTATTTTTCTCTTTCGAAGCATAATAAAAAGCATATTATACATACTTTTCGTAGTACAGGAAGTAGCTCAACTAAGAGTTCCAATAGATTCGGTGCTATATATGTAAATAGGCCGCGGGACCCTTCATGCGTAAAATCGATAATGACCTTGCTTCCCCCACTTACCATCCATTGATCGGAGGTCGCTGTGGTTAACAAGTTTCGATTCATAATGACTCCGTGATAATAGTGCTTAAAGACGCCACAAATGTTCAGGGTTCGACAAAGCATTTACACGTGACGCTTCTATAATCAAAGTACACCATCTCGGTCAAACTAGAAGTCATAAATTAAGGGACTTGAAGATAAGTTTGAGAATCTATCGATATGTCGAGATGCGTCTAATCTAAGCTGGCTATGGGTTGCGAGGGATGTGTAGCACTGTGTACTTGTAGTGGCATTGGACAATAGCCACACAATCCACAAAGCTGTGAACACGAGACTACTCAGAAAATAGATATTCAACATTTAACGCGGAGAAATGCCCAACAATGGAGAAGGCGCGAACAATGAATTGAATGGACTGGGTTTGATCGGATGGCATGGCTCGGCCATGCAGGCGTGGTTCATTTGAATGTTACCTTATATCTTCTATTCATATTAAATATATTGTTCCTTCTCTAGCCTAACCTTGTTCTACATCATGTATTGGTAATTGATACGATACAGTGAGTTGGTGTAGTCGATGGTGTGACTTCCACGTAAGATCTTATAGATTAGGCAGTTATATCATGACAAATCTACAAATTTAGGATTAGGTCTATTATTAGAGCAGCACTAATATCATAGTAGACCATAATTCTACATTGGTGAGCCCAACTAAAGAAACGCAACTTATTATTGTTAATCCTTATTTCCACTTAAACTTTCTCGATCGATTTTATATATATGTTAACCCAGTATTCTAATAGTCCTCTGATTAATGCTCACATGCGTTATCGTAATGTTATATTGATTACTTCTCATAACATACTAGGTCAATCGATAGTAAAAACTGGTCGTCTAAATTAACTAATTAGCTTTGATGGTTCGTTAACAAGCTTTAATAGCATTTACATGCTTCAGCGACATAGTCTTGTTTAAACATCAAGCTCTAGCAAATACGACATGCAAATAACGTAAATATACATTGACTAACAACGTAAGCAAGGACTAAGTAGTTATCTGGATCTAATTCTTAGTGCTCCTTCACTTAACACCTCATCCTGTTTTAAACTATGCACTATCCTGTAATATCTTTTCTTCCGACCACTGCCTGCCTAATTTCATATTCTCGAGTTCCATTGCCAAACAACAAGGATGACAATTCTCCAAAAACATACGGTGAGTTTCAGCTATAGGTTTTCTGCAATCATAAGGTCATTTTAGATAACTCGTTCAATGGCGACCACACAAGTATCTGGATTCATTCAATTGTTCTGATCCGAGCGAGTGGCAAAAACGTCAACAGCATCAAGCACCCCGGAATTAATTGCCATACTGCATGTTTTATTCTGGATACTTTTGGATTATTACTACTCCTCACGAATGTCGTTATATATTGTCGTCCACTGAATAATCTAATTTTCAAAAATAATCCAGGCGAGTTCAACTATTTTACTTAATGATATTTTTGTACTTAACATGTATATATTTTCCAGTTACTTCTGCCACATATTTGTAATTGTCCCTAGGCTAAATGCACTAACTTTTGGAAAATTTATAATTCATCATATTCGTGCCTGAAGTTTCATAAGCAGTCTTAACTTTAAAATTATCTTTCTCATCATGTTCATTATTTTCAAATTGTCATATACGTCAACAACCTGCATGTTAACCTGGCCCATACATACGTTACACTATATCTCCATGTCTTCTAAATTTAGAAATCTGGATCGCCTTTAACATTTATCAATAAACCCATCATAGTCGTTGTTGCTAATCGTATTTGGGTTTATGGATTGATTTATCATATTAGCAGCCTAAAATGCGAACATAGTTTAGATAATAAGATTAAAAATTTAGGTACTATCAACTGCACTAGTAAAATAACTAAATCCCTAGGTAGCTGTTGGCTAAACAAACGTTTAAAATCAAAACTCCGTAGCCTACTAGAATTAACACTAAACGAATCTTTCTGAATTAAAATTTATAATTAAATTAGGCGTCTCGGATTCTTTAACGTTACAAATTTCTGATAATTTCGAATCACCTAAAGCAACAATACCTATTTTTCCACTGACTAATCCTCATTCAACACTATAACTAGTTAAACATAATAGTTTCAGGATATCGTCATAAAGCATTGTCATGACTTGACAATCACGTAATATGATTGATAAAATTAATGAAACTATTAACAAAATCGGTCAGCAAATTGACTTATAACTATCACTAGTGTTGTTTTTCTTTTATCTTCATTCACTACAGATGATTACAGTATGTTTCTCTATCAGTTGCTCATTCAGTAAATATCTCAAAACCTTGTCAGTCTAATTGATGGTTTAGCGACACAATCATGCATGCAAATAATCAGTATAAGCAGTCGAGCAAATCTCCTGCAAACTGAAAACATCAATGTCGAATTTACCCCAACACTGACTAAGGTTCAAGCCATTATCATAGACATGAGTTGGGAGTGTACTCCCCTTGGTTACAACTTATGTTCTCCCTGATAATCACATGAGCATCACTCACTATTAATCATCTTGTAAAAACTTATTTAGCCAAATACATCTTGCAGCACCACATCACCTAGTAATATGACACATAGGCTAACTGATTTTAATAACTTATAACCACTATATCTCAATTAAATCGTATTCCGCCTTATGATAAACTGCATACTTGCAACTAACTTGTATGCCCAATCAGCCGGCAAGTATAAATATAAATAAATAGTCTGCCACAGATCAGAACATTGAGTCTAGAGCATGTCTCTTACGAATACACTCATGTTTAACGATTTGTTCCTAGCTATCTGTCCAAAATTCATATAATTATCACTCACGTATTTAAATTTTATTTTGATAACCATTCATGTGTATTAGTAGTATTACTAAATTCTATCACGGTCAAGTAAAAATGAGGTTGAGAAAATCTCCCCGTAACTAAATAAACCGTATCAAACTAACTGGAACACTAGTTGGAATTCTTCTCCACGGTATACTTTTGTTCCTTCAGTTAGCCTACTAATACAGATGCAATTGGAAACCACATATGGACAACTTACCGGCATAATCGTTATTTGATTTCATAATTTAAACCAAAACTAATACCAATATTAACATTTCTACAATATTCATTACTTTAATATTTCTAAACACAAAATACTTACTACCTATAAGTTAAGTTATTAACACGCATCGTTTTATTATTATTATTGTAACCCCATTTTTTATAGCTCAAATAATCTTCACCCAAATTTTCATTTCAAGCGTTTTAAGCATGAAGGCAGATATTTTAAAATTATTACATGTATTTCCCGACCAGATGCTGCCGCCTTCTTTTTGATTTATCTTTCAGCTTACCAATACCCGGAGGATTCTTATTATCCTTGGTAACCTCCGGCGCGCGACGATCCCATCCAATTTGGTATCGAACCAACATCACGTTGATTCTGGTGGGAGAGTAGTGTAGTGGCATTGGACAATAGCCACACAATCCACAAAGCTGTGAACACGAGACTACTCAGAAAATAGATATTCAATATTTAACGCGGAGAAATACCTAACAATGGAGAAGGCGCGAACAATGAATTGAATGGACTGGAGTTGATCGGATGGCATGGCTCGGCCATGCAGGCGTGGTTCATCTGAATGTTACTTATATCTTCTATTCATATTAAATATATTGTTCCTTCTCTAGCCTAACCTTGTTCTACATCATGTATTGGTAATTGATACGATACAGTGAGTTGGCGTAGTCGATGGTGTGACTTCCACGTAAGATCTTATAGATTAGGCAGTTATATCATGACAAATCTACAAATTTAGGATTAGGTCTATTATTAGAGCAGCACTAATATCATAGTAGACCATAATTCTACATACTCACTCACGATCTGATGCACATGCGTGACCAGGCACCTTTGACTAGGTTCTGTCCACTAAAGTGAATGAGGTCAGTAATAGCGTCGATGATGTACAAAACTATTTATCTGAGTGATTTATTTATCACCAAAACTATTGCTGAGCTGCAAATATAGTCTTCCAGGATAAATATATGAGCAACTAAACCATTACATTCACGGAAGTAAGCAAGACCCATATGATATAGTTATGTTTATGCGTATTTTGGTTTCCATAGTCATGTGTGACCTGCCTGCAATCACAGTAGATGGTTTCTGGCCAATAATCATGCCATGTAATCATATATCACATAAAATATCTCTATTTTCGACTCGCTAACACGAAGAAATTAGTCCGTTATTACAAATGTTTTACCCTGCTTATAAACTTAGGCTGTTTGTAATGCAATGTGCTGTTCTGTGATATACGTTAGTTATCCTAATATTAGTTTCAAGAAAAAGTGGCTTGTGGTATTTATACGAATTAATGATACCTTAGTGCTTAACTGAGTGGTCATTACGAATCCCAAATCTAATGCGTTCATTGTGCTAATCCGGTTCAACCTGCCTTAAATTGTAATATTTCGATAATTATTTGCGGTCAACTTAGCCTGAATACTTTAAATCGTCACACTGATGTCTTGATGGTGTCAAATCTTGGAAAGTTGGATACTAATTCAAGCAGGGATGACTTTTTTAACTGCATGGAACAATTCGAAATCTGGCGCATGATTAGAAAGGACATTGACAATGATAAATTCACAGATTATTTTATGACGCTTATCGACAAAGAAGCTTATAACCTAATAAGGAATTCGGCTTGTCCAGAGAAACTAATTTGATTGTCATATGAA